GAAGGTATTTATATTTTCTCTTATGATCGTTGAGGGAGGATTTAGACAGGAGATGAAATTCTTCTCATATACCTTTCTCTAAAGGGATATTATTTTCAACAGTCTTGATAATATAATCAGAACTGTTTTTCTTGGGTTGATCTTCAGGAACATATAATGTATCCTGTGGAATGACTGGAATGGTCCAGTCATCCATACTTTGGTTGATCTCTTCGAAACGAACTTCTTCGTCAAAGAGGTTGTGCTTGGGTGTGATTTCAAGAGAATGTTTCTCCTGGTCATCAAAAAGATTGGTTTTAGTTGGAGAGGAGGAGGAGGAACTGGAGCCAGATCGCAAAGAAATACGGGAGAAAGAACGTAAAAGCTTTGACATAATATAAAAACATCTGGCTCATCACCCTCATCTGGTTCCGTAACAATACATCTGTTAATTATTCATAACTTGTTCAACTGGATCTGGTTATTTGTGGACTTCTTTTATATATATATATATATATATATATATATATATATATATATATATATATATAATATTCTTATAATGTAGTTTATTTGGCAACCATATAGGAATAATGCTATTGATGCCCATATTCTAGATGATGTAAGAGGCGAATGCCTGGTGTGATTAACTATTAGCCCTTTTATATGTTTTGAAATATTAGAGTGACATGCAACTAATCAGGTAATGAGCCAACTTAGATTTTCTCAGCCTATTTTTCTTCTAGCCCAAAATCTTGAGGATTTTCACAACAAAGACTTATATGGATTAAGATAAACAAAGAATTAAGACTGATATATGTTGGTTGAGTGACAACATGGGATCAAGATATCAATGTATCTTCTAGTCCAAAATCTTGAGGAATTCCACCTGCGTATTGTGCATGGTACATAGTGTATGCAATACCAAATGAGGAGTTATATTAGTCTCCTCAAAGGGAGCAGTAGTGGCCATTTGAGTGGGATGAACAACTTCACAATAAACACCAATATTAATGTCTGTAGATAGAAGGCCTAGGAGTCATAGTTCAAGATGCAAATAAACAGAAAGATGAATGTTTGGTAACTTATTATGCACATATGAATTTATTATAGATGATGCTCAATTCGAAGACAAAATTTGTCATTGTCACTTTGACCTAAACAAGGAGACATCCAATGAAAAAAATGGTTGTGCATCCAAGTACTAGTACAAGATTATATGTACTAATCACAGTTTGATACATCGACTAATAAATGGTCCATGTCAATCATGTCTTGTGATATGACCCAACGAGTTAGCACATTTGATATATCTTTTCATGCGATAAAGCCTGAACTTACTAAAGATGAGGTCGCAAGAGATGGAAGTTACAAGAGATGAAGCTATAAAACAAGGAAAAGAGGATGATGGTGGCAGAAGACAAAGATGCAGAGAATTTCTTCCATGTAAGTTACATTCATTTACTCATGCTCCTCGTAGATATAGTCCATCACTACTAAAAAAGAAAAAGAGAAAAGGAGGGTAGTGATGTTAATGTATTTATTATACTTGTTTTATTTTAATATAAATAAACTCTATCATTATAATAAATAAAACAAATAACATACTACAATTAAAAATAACTAAAGTATAAAGCTAGTTTTTGTCATTTAAATATCTTCGATAACAGTTTTGATAAAAATAAAATATTAAAAAAACACTCAAAATTTGTTAAAGATGATCATAACGAAAATGCTATTCTAACACTCAAATATGGTGTCGGGGTATAGACACCATATATCTATCTCACAATAGCCAGTTGCACAAATTCAACTATACATATGAACACAGAATAACAAAGCTCGGGAAAAAAAAATATTCTCTTCTCTTCCACCCACTTCTTCTTCTTTGTATTACTCTCTTTGTTATGGATGCACCATCATGTTCTTCCTTCCACTTTCTTCCATCTTCTATTCTAAGAACCACCACAAATCCACTTCTCCTAACACCAAGGTGAAAATTTATTGTATTTGCTTTGACACTCTCTCCTCTTTGCTTATCCCTCCTTCTAGCCTCTATTTTTTAGGGACTCCTATCAAAGCTCATCCACCACAAATCCATTTCTCACAACACTGTTTAAGAATCCCTCCTTATATCTATATTTTGACATCTAGTGCACGATTTGCACAGTGAAGACAACTAACTTGTCATTTCATCTATCAGGTGCTAGGTTTACAATCATTACACACTATGTTTTTCTCTTTCTATTGTGGATTTGGGAATTTTTGGCTGAAATAATTTCTATTTTGCAGTTTAACAAAATATTTTTCTTTCACCCCAAATCTGCATAATTTCACCATTGCTTTTACTGTTCTCAGATTTGCAGAATCTTTTTTTTTTTTTTGTAACTTTCAAGTTTTTGGATTGAGTTTATTAAACATGTTTTGGCTTTGTTGGGTTCAACGAGGAGATATTGACTTGTTTGTAACTTAAGTGTTATTTTGGTTTATTTTGCAAAATTTGATGTTAGTTCAGTAGTTGTACTTTTAGACTTAATTAAAGTATACTTATGCACTAGGATTTACAAATGTTTATATTTATTTAGTTGATTATTGTGTTTTGAAGATTCAACACTATTTTGATAGGTTATGTGAGATTTGTACATGCTTTTGTTGAAGTAATTTTAGATCCTATTAACTTGAAAGTTAATAATTCTTTTGGTGGGTATCGGTAATATATACGTGAATGTAGTATTTTTTGCACTAGATGGAGTTATATGTGTATATCGTTTTCTTGTCATTAAAATTTTTTTGCATGAATTCAAATGATGTACTAAATGTTCAATTGTGTAGCATACTAAGAACTAATTTTGGTTATGTTTGTGTATACTGTTGTTTTGACTAATGAAACAATCCATACACATGGATTGTGTGTGTGTGTGTGTGTGATTGGATGAAATATGTTGTACTTAATTGCAACATCTTAATATTCTGAAAATAGGTAAAGATTTAAATTGTCAAGTTCACTCAGTCACTCTTTTGGATCTTGTTTATTGTTTTACTCCTACAAAGACATGCTATATAATTGAATATTTTACATTGATCAACTCATATATAAGTATTTGCAAAGTTGGTTATTTAGGCAATGATCTTATAGAAAGTGAGACCATAGATAACGCCAGTTAGTTTCTAAAAGGATGATTCATCAGTTTTAGTTTGCATTATGATGTTTTTGTTGCTTCTGATATCAAACTTTCTATATATTATTGATCATTCTCGTAGTGATTTTAATTACCCACATTTTAAGTTGTAATTATTTTAATATATGTTTGACTACCTTTTATTTACAGTACCATTTTTAGCATGAGTTGACTCTTGATTTAATTTAAATTATATTATTTTTGTACTGATTCTTAAATAAAATAGGTGAATACCATATTTAAAAATAAACATTCATCCATTCCTGCCACAATAAAGAAGCTTTTCAATTTAAAATTGAATTTCTTGACAAAAGGAGATGCATGGGGCCAATGCCTTTGAAAAATACTTTCACATTTGTGATACCTTTAAGATGATTGTCCAGATTTGTATCTACTTCCTTGATTATAATATCTGACTACAAATTTTTTAAAAATTAATAATTTTTGAAATATTATAGTCTATATGCTTAATTGTATTAAAAGTTGGTTCATCATAAAAAGTGAAAAGAAAATAAAGAGGGCAAAAAGTATAATTAAAAAAATAAATAAAATTAACATTAATTATCAATCGTTCAATATAATTAAAATATATAAATAAATTTAAATTATATATTTTATTAGAATATTTTTTTAAAAAATATATAAAAAGTTTAATTCATTTTAAACAAAGAAATCCTTAGACGTGGTTAGTTTTCTAAAATTTGTATTATGATCGAGTACTGAGAATTTTCTATAATGTGAGCATAGGTCCTTCTCACATCCATCTTGCTGCTCTTATTGGTTACCTATTCTATATTACTTATCCAATGTGATTATTATCTTGTTCCCAAGACTCAAAGAACATAAAGACTTGGGTTATTTCAAATAAATGAGTAAACTCCGATTCCAGTATTAAAATTATAAATACAGATCATTTTAATCTTTAATTTTTTTAAAAATTTATTTTAATTATTGACTTTATAAAATACCATTTATTTTTTTCCTTTTTAATATAAAATGTTATTGAAAATTTTAAAAGAATTAAAAATTTATATAATTAGAGCCTATAGTAATTGACACTTACAATCTTAAAGATTAAAATAAAAATTTAATTTAGAAACACTATCTCACAAGTCTAAACTACCTAAATGATCCCTTCTTATCTATGCTAATCGTATTATTTATATCTTAACCAAATGTAATTTTATTTTGTTCTGTTCAAGATTTTGATTTGAAATGCTTGAAAATTAATTTACGACAAATCTATCACTTTAAATAGTCCCACAACCTTACAAAGAACAATTCAAGAAAAATTTTGTTGTGATGCACATGCTGAATATCAAGTAATGACAACAGCTAAAGCCTAAATTTGAAAGTTTAGGCAAACTAAAACTCTGCCTCTCAAGTCTAATTTATCAACAATTTTATTGTTTGCATTTGAATCGAGTTTATGATTGTTTCTACTCAATCCAAAATTGAGACTCAATTTTTTAATTCTCAATCCCAACCTATTAATGTTAAGACTGACTGAACGAAATTTATAGATATAATATAATCTCGATATTATAAGAACTAAATTATGAAATTGATATATTTTATATTATAAATTTTAAAATAAACTAAATCAATATAAATGACATAAATTGGGTCTTAAAGTCTTATTACTAATACATAATTACTTAAAAAGTGCAAATTTTTAAAAAATGGAGGATACCAAGTCAAGACAATTCGACATATAACTCAGACCAATCCTCAAAATATATCAAATTTTATTTTAAGAATTCAAACCCATCAAAATTAGTTTTAAGCTGGGACGGATTGGTGAAAGGAAGCATGTCATGACCCCATACATATAGCAAATAGCAAAGAAAAAAATTTCAAAGGCAAGTTCATTAGGCATTTGTCACCGCATGCATTTTAAGCATGTTTGACAAAAGGAAAATGGGAATTCAACACATTGTCAACTAGAAACTAAGACCAGTAGATTTAAGTTGTTACCTGGAGCTCATAAATGTCCCTAAAATTGAAAGTTTGGTACATTCAAAATCCACCAACACGTGGTCTCGCCTATCTAGCTAATTTGGGAGGAAATGCCAACTAAAAAAGTGCATTGCTCTAAATTCTACAGAAGGCAAGGAGGACCCAACTATAAAGTAAGCAAGGAAGACCCAACTACAAAGTACGCCCGCAGTAGAGAGGGGCCTTCAATTTTACCTGTGAATGAAAACATTCAAGAATTAGGCACCTCGGGCCATTTTCATCCTTGGCATTGCCTTTTTCATTTGACGAGCACGCTCCTTTGCTTCTTTCTTTCGAATAGCCTCTGCACTGAGCTTTGCCTCAGCCTCCTCCATCATCTTCTTCCTCTCTGCCTTCCTTCTCTGCATGGCCTCTTGTTGGGCACTTCGGAGTTCTTTTTGTGCCTCTAGAGCAGCCTTTTGTCGTGCAGCTTCTGTCTTAGACCGAGCCTGAATTGCGCACACCAGTCAATCAAGGACCAAGCATAAGACGTTCACAAATTACAAGCCAGCATATATTGGTAACACAAGACAGAGAAAATCCACCCACCTGGGAACTTAATTTATATCTTCCAATCAAGTCAATATAATATGGAACAAGGGCAACCAGTCGAGTCATATCAGCCATGTTCTTAGCAGATGGAAGCACAAACTTGAACAACAAAACTTTCTTGTGCGTGCCAGGGTGCTGGTCGGAGAAATGCAATGAAATTAAACCTTTTCCAAATTTCTCAAAAGCTTTTTCACCAAAAACCTGCAGTATATCATTAATAGCTGATTTTTTAGTCCAACAAATAACCTTTAATTTTGACAGTATATGAACTGTGCAGATGAACCAAAACACGCATTTTGGCAAAACAAACTTTAAACTTGACATAATCCTGAAGACACTTGCATGCATAAATAAACCCAAATGTAATGGAGCTAATTACCAGCAAGTTGAAACACGTTTTCATGGTTAGTTCACATATATGACATCAAAAGAATATGCAACTAGCAAGCACTCTCGATGGAATGAAAAAGGAGAGCGAAGGAGTATCCCAACTTATATCAGAGAAATAACCACATTAAGTGCTGACTCACTGTTGAACATGATAAATAATATTCCTCTTAAAATAATTGGATATATAGTTATTACTAGCCATAGTACTGTTTTAGTAATCTACATCCCAACAAGTGATACAGTTGACCAAAATATATGCTACAATTTAACAACAAAAATAACAAATTCCAAATGGCTGGGCATTGTTGGAATGCATGTAAACAGCTTATCATATCTTAAAAGTATGTTAAGATATTCCTTAAGATCAGTTTCCATATTACCTATTATCTCTGGCACGTAGATTGGATGAAAGATAAATAGGGAGAGAAGAAATAAATAGAAGGCTGAGAAATATAACAGAAATATGATGAAAAAAAATGTATTGTTTGGATAGATGAAAATAAGAAAGAAGTGGAGAAAGTTCTCACCACTTATTTAAATTAATAGAAAATAGTAAAAAAAAGTAAATTGTGTAAAATATTTTTTATAATAATTAATTTAACAAGAGAAATTATTACTATTATATCTTTTAAATTTTTTTAAAAAAAGAAGATATATTATATTAAAATATTATTAAACATGAAAATATTAAAACAACCCCCTCCCCATTTTACCCCACTTTAGGGGGAAGTTTTTTACAAGAGATACCCCCACTCTTCCTTCCCCTCCTCTCCTCCTTCCATCATTCAAACACACAATATACCCACCCTCTTCCCTCACTACTTAATCCGAATTCTCTACAGTTTTGGCACAAATAACAACCTGCAATCCAACGAATTTGATAAAAAAGTGATTTTTACTTAAGTTAAAAAATTCACTTAAGCTAAAATGGTTTAGAACTTCATCTTTTTTCTCTTTAAACTACGAAAAATTTAAGGAACATTTATTTCTCATCAATGATTACTTAGTTACCAAAGGTCCTTGCATATATCATCTCACAAAATATTCTAAATGAATTTGTCTAGTGAACCACTTATGCTGAGCATCGGTGAGGTGTAACCATTTGAAATTAGGTTAAATTTTTGAGAATGATGATAAAAATTATAGGGATCATGACTTTGAAAAATTAGTTGAGAAACAGTTGCAATATTACATGATTTGAGACCCTTAGGTCTTTGTAATATGATAATCCCTACTTGATCCAGAAGATATAATGGAACCAAAGAGAATTGAGAAAGTTTTGATTTGCATATTGAACATTGGGGCTTTTATTGCTTTTCATTTTCTAAAAGGCTATTTGAAAATGAAGTCAATTGTACATGTATAGCTAGCAATAAAGATTATCACAAAGTGTGACTATAGGATCTTGCATAAAGGTTCCTCAAATTTTCCATAATATAGAAAGAAAGAATATGAAATTTTAAAATTTTTTGAAATGTTAATTTAAGCGATTATTTTTTGCTTAAATGAATATCACTTTTTTGTCAAATTTGCCTAAGCAAATTTGGATTGCAAGCTGCAGTTTGTGTCAAAACTGCAAAGGATCCAGATCCCTCACTTTTCTCCCCCCAATCAAACATACCCCACTAGGATTGGTCACTCTAATTTCTCATCTTATGATTTGTTTTCTTAATTAGTCAGGATTTTAATTAATGTAAATAAGGGTTAGGTAGTGTTGTAGGATTTAAACACTCATCAATGTATTGTAAGTTGTAACACATTTTATTGCATAATAAAATTATACAAAGCGTCAATTCTCTTTATTCTCTCTTTCAATATCCAAACCCTATAATTTCAACACGATATTAGAGTGATGCCCTCCTCTGTTACCTGTCCCATTACTCCTTTATTGCCAAAATCCCTAAAATTTAGAGTTCTACTTAATTTTCATGATCCTTTCTCAAATTAACTTTCTCTCTTGCTGTGTCCTTTGGCATTTGGTCACCAACATCGCATCGTCCTTTTGGCAGTCCTCAATTGTGTTCTTCATTCTAACCAACTATTTCATTGGTTTTGTCCCCCACTGTAACATCTCTGACTCACTCTAGCATTGGTTGTGTATTTTACCAACATGTTCATACATTTTATGTCCTTCTGTTTCTCTCAGGTTCTGATCTCCTCCACTATGCATTTTTTCAGTGTTTTTAAATTAAAATAGATTCTGTCCTCTAAGTTTCAGAGTTTTGACCTCCTCCATCGTGCATTTTTCCTGTGTTTCAGACAGATTTGAGCTGAGTTTCACTGGAGTTTGAATTCCCTTTGCCATGCACTTTTCCGCATGTTCCAAATAGATTCCAGATTTCCAGCTTAGAGTTTCTCTCTGGGTTACAGTCTCCTCTTCTATTCATTTTTCCTACATGTTTCAGCCATTCATGTCATTGGCAGGAAATATTTTGGCAACTTTTCCAGCATGACCACCACCATTAAAACTAATCTCAGGGTCATCAGAACCTATTAATCCTCACAAGCTGTTTTGGTGCAAATGTGGTTCTTCCATGTGTCATCGTCCTTCTTCCCGTGTGGTGGTGCATCCAGACTGGTTTGTTTTGTCTCACTCCTGCTGAACATGTTGCTACCTCATCACAGATCTGCCCTTGGTTCAATGATTTCTGGGTTTGTGACTTCTTATGTAGGTTTTTTTTTGCCATAATTTGGTTTGTTTCACTGCCCTCTAGTTGACCCATGACCTACTTTAATTAGATCTGCTCTCTTTTGTTGAAATGCACTGAGATCAGGGAATCAGATTGACTCCATAGCTTCCAAGAGATACGAACCTAGCCTCACAGCTTTGACAGAGAAAAAAAGTCTAACCTAGCATCTCTCGATCAATACATATAAAACCCCAAATTTTCAACAACCTCAAAACTTGAAACTCACTTTTTCTTTGGCCTATAGGATATCTATGCCTTACGGTGTTTCATGCATTTTGCAACCTAGTAATAAACCTAATGATTGCTCTGCCTCTGCCTCTTTATATAAAATATCAACAGTCAGCAAAGAGAAATAAAATAGCAATGATAAGAATGATGACTGAGGGGAATAAAGGATGGCATAAAAGGGGTCATTTGCTGAATTAAATAAGTAACATTGATCAATAAACATCACACTTTTGTGTACATACACACAGACACACTCCAGAATGAACAATGCTCTATAGCATTTGTATCTTGGGTTTCAGGGAGGCGGCATACTTCCAGCTGTATCAATTAGAACATGAAAGAATCCATTTCAGAGCAATTGATTTATAAATAGCTCAAGACAAGACCAACCTATATAGATCCACTTCTCCTCCTTTATCTCTCCTTATATAATTCAGTCTTATGGAGAAGTTAGGAAGTAGAAATAAATTGAAGAAATTATTTCATTTACAGCTGAAGGTTTCAGTCTCTAACTTTTATATAGAGATGATATCGAGTATGACCACTGACCTCCATTCAGAGCAACAGCTTCAAATTAAGGAACTTATTTATGAAGAGCTTATCACACGAGAACTTATTCTTGATCTTATCAAATGTGAAGCTTACTAGGGGCATATTTGTATAAACAACTTAAGTAAGCACTTATTTCATAGAAGTTATCAAATGAGAACTTATTCATAGAAAAACTATGCATCACGGTTCACTGCAAAATGCAAACGTAAAGTGATAACGAGAGAGAAGTGAAACCTGATCAATGACGGCATCGGTAATCAAATCAGCAGCGACTTCCTTGGACTCAGAAATAACAGAGAGGTCATCAACAACCCACTTTCTGGAATTGGGAGGAGAAAGAACACTCCCAAACCTCTGCAAATCCCTAACGTCCTTCTGCATGGCTTTGGCAGCCTTCTTCTTAGCCATGGCAAAAACGACATGATCCATGGCGTCGTCGCTCATGTAAACCTCAAACGCGATCTCGTCCCTGCAGGGAACGATCATGTTGTAAATCCTCGCAATCAGATCGTGCCTGCTCTTCAACTCCAACGTCGCCAACAACCCCTGGCAGTACCTTCTCCCGCTCGCGTAGAACTTGAACGTCGTCTGCCCCTCCTTCAACAACAACGGCGCGTCGTCGCCGCCGTCGCCGATTCCCAATAGGCTGAAATTCTTCTCGAAGATTGAGTCCTTTGCCGCGAACTGCGCCGCCCACGAGAGGGCTATGTTCTCGTTCTCGCGCTTTCCGGTGAAGTAATTGATGGCGAACATCACCAGGAAGCTTCCGCAGACGATCTCGACGGTGAAGGAGCGCGTGGGTTTCACGTTTTGGGGGTTGTGAGGGGTTGCGGGATCGGAAGCGTTTTCGGGGGATTTGGGATCGGTGGGGACTTCGGGGGTGGGGTTTTCGATGGGTACGCCTTCGAATTCTTCGTCGTCCCAGAAATCGAAAGTGGTGGTGGTGGTGGTGGGTGGGGATTTGGGAAGATCCGAAGCTGGAGGGTCGGGATTAGGATCGGAGTGGGGAGTGGGTGTGGAGAGTTTCTGGGAGGGCGGTGATCGGAGAGAGGAAGGATCGATTGAAAGGTCTTCGAAGTCATCTTCTTCGGCTTCGAAGCCTTCGAAATGGGAATCGGAGTGAACGAAGGATAGGAAGATAGATAGGAAGCAGAGGAGAAGGAATAGAACATTTGGATTTGCCATTGACACCCACACACACAGAGATAGAGAGAGAGAGAGAGAGAGAGAGAGAGAGTTTCGATTTGGGCTACTTCGCTTACCACTGACCGATTTTGATAGGTTGCTTTGCTCCTCCCAGATACGGGTTAACGGGTTCTATGCCTCTCCATAACCATAATTGCCTTCCCTTTCTGGTAGTTTATATTTTCATAAGTTTAAAATATTATCATATTATATTTTACATATTGTATTATTAAATTTAAAGTTTTTTATACTAAATTATATTTATATAAATCACCTTAGAATATATTAAAATCATATCCTAAGTAAGGCTAAAGAAAAAATTTAATTTTATAAGTTCAATTCATAACTAATGCTAAATTAGTTTTAAAAATTTAAATTTGTATTAAATTAGTTTTTTTATTAAGATTCTAAATTTACTTTTTGAAATAATTTTTTTTATTTATTCAAATTCATATGTACAGAAATATTATTTTATATTTTTATTTATTAAATTTTTACATTATATCAGTTCACAAAATTTTATCTTAACTATATTTTACGACTTAATATTATTTTATTAATCTTAATGTTTATAATTAAAATTAAATATTTAAAATAATATTATTATACTAAAAATTATTTATTTTATTTTTATAAATTTAAATTTAAATTTTTATCATCAATTCTATTTATTAAAAATAATAATAAATATTTTATAAACTTCTATAAATATAATATAATTATAAAAATATTACTAAAACTTTCTTAAAATACATTAATTTAATGTAACAATGCGTATAACAAATTATTTTTATTTTAAAAATTAAATTCACAAATATATTGAAAATTAGTTTTGTTTTAAAAATTAAATTTAAAACTAATTTAACAAAACTTAATTTAAAACTAGTTTTAACAAAAACAAAATTTAAAATCAATTTTAAATTAAATTCAAAATTTAAAACTACTTTTAAATTATTAAAAAAATAAAATAAAATAATTTAAAATTTAATTCATATAATTAATTTGTATAGTAGATAGATAATAAAAAATAAAATATATGTAAATATTTATTATTTTAATATAATATAAAAATAAGAAAAATTATATTATTAATAGATTAAAATATATGCAAATATAATTTAAATTATTTATTATAAAATTTAAATATTTTTAATATAATAATATAAAAATATTTATAGCATATTTTTATTAGATTCAAAACTAATTTTAAATCAAATCTAAATTTTAAAACTAAATTCAAATTGATTTTGAAAAAAATTAAAATGGATTAGTTCAAAATCTAATTCATTTAATTAGATTTTAAATATATTTAGATTAATTTTTATGAATTAGATTTTAAATAGATTTAGATTAATTTTTTGAAAATTCAATCCATGCATACCCTAATCTTAAAAATACTAATCATATTTGCCTAAACACAAAAGAAGGTAAAATCAGTTTATATTTATGTCACACTAATTGCTTTCAGTTAGATTATTTGTTCACACTTGGTCAAAATTAGTCCTATAAAAAATGGCTTAAACAATATCAATTCCTACGTATTGAATTAAACTTTTTTACACAATATCCTAGTTTACCCTCACGTATAAAAGAAAAAAACATTTTTAAAGTATTTTTAAAATATTGCCTAAATTTTGATATATTCATATAATGCACATGCTTGTTTACAATCCATTGTTCCCGCAATGCAAACAAGTTGCAAGTAAGATAAAGAAACATCTTTTTGGAAAGAATTGGCAAGTAAGTAGATGACGTATAATGGAAAAGAAAAATGAAGAGGGCATTACATGGAACACAAATAAGCAACTTTGTTTAATCAAATATTTGTTAATCATGTTTAATAATTACATCATCTACTGAGATCACACCATATATATAGCGTAAAGCCGATTCAATTAGTTGGAGAATTGAGCTAACCATTCAAGTACCTAGTCTAACCCATCTGCAGGATTTTATTCTTCTTTCTTTTTTCTTTGGCTATGCTAACCAATCAACCATCTACACCAACCTATAACCTACAAGTATCATCACATCTATCCCATTAATTTTAGGCTATTTGAGCAAAATTAACACTAATTAGATGGTTGATGGAGACGAGAAAAACACATTATGCAGTGCAATGGTATTAATGGACAAGCATGATGCTACATTACTGGTAGTTTGGGGGTCATATTCATGCACACAAAATAATGTATTTGTCTTAGCCTTCAAAAAACAACATGCGATGGCATCATATCTTTCACTCTATGTAAATGTATGCATCTCTTCCAAATCAAATATCAACTTTGAAGTAGAAGCAAAGAAACACACAACGAACCCAACCAATTAACCCTCAAATATTGAGTCGCACCTCTCTTTCACGCACTCATACCTCAACCATGGAACCTCAATCTCCAACCCTCAACTCCACCTCCACCGTCGACACTTCTCGTCCTTTCAGCTCCGTCAAAGAAGCCGTAGCCATATTCGGCGAACGCCTTCTCCTCGGAGAAATCTACTCCTCAACCCCAAGTCCAAAGCCGTTGAGGCGAGAGGCTTCGTGGAGGTTGTCATCATCAACATCAACACCAACACCAACAGCAACACCAACGCCAACGCCACCAAGTCCAGTGAAATCCAGAAAAGAGCAAGAGAAGGGGAATTCGAATTCGGTTCTTGAAACAATAAAGAAGCTGGAGGCGGAGCTTGAGGAAACGAAGGTGGAGCTGAAGCTGCTGAAGGAAAGAGGGAGCGAAACGGAGGTGGCGTTGGCGACGCTGAACGCGGAGCTTCACAAGAACATGTCAAAGTTGGCTCAAGCTGAGGCGGCGGCGGCGGGGAAGGCGGCGGCGGCAACAAAGACGGTGAGGTTCGATATTGGGAGAGAAGAGATAGTGGAAGTAGAGAAAGAGAAGAAGAATGAGTACCTGAGAAGGATGGAAGATTCAGGGAGATTGAAACTGGGTGAGATAATAAGTCTGGGAGAAAAAGACCATATTTTTGGAGGGAAAAAAGTGAGGAAGCAGAAACCCATTATCCCTCTTGTTGGGGACTTGTTCTTCAAGAGAAAAGGCTCTTCTGCTACCAATCACCATAATCCTCTTTATGCTTCTCCTTTCTAATCTAATGCTTTTCTTTTCTGCTTGTATTATTCCTCCCCTCCCATGTGTGTCTTTCTTTGAATGTCTTTGTTTGTACAATTACACTTTCTATCTATCCACGTAAAATTAATCATCACACTCTTCAATTTGAGTACAGTGTGTAAGGTATATGTCTGAATCCACTTCTCAATCAATCAACTAATCAATTATAAATTCAACATAAATTAACCTATATTAGTCACTCTAATGAAACTAGCTAACTTTAGACAAGTAACAATTTCTTGCATAGCACTTTTCAATCTACCCAAAATAGAATAGCTCTTTCTAACCCTCAATATTGAGTCATCACATCCATCCTCATGTATACTTAGAGACATGAATACTTCAAAATTAAAAGTGATGTATTTTTTTAATCAGGATTTATAATCCTACTATGTCCGGAAAACAATGTCATCTATAGCAACATTTAACATTTAATTTAATAAATACACAAACAAATACTATTACCTTTTTAACTCCAAATAAAACAATTTAAATTTTTTATATTAAAATTAATTTCAAAAAATTATATATACATACTGTAAATATAAATTATTATTACATCTTAATTAATATTTATATCAAATTAGTTAAAATGAATTTTATATTTACATATTTTACCTATAAATTAATTCTTTTATTTGAGTGTCTTATATCAAATATTCCCTATATACAAATAAATTTGTCATAAGTAAAAAATATTATATTAACATTTAACTTAAAAAATTACATCTCCTACTTTTATAGTATAAAATTAATATTTAAGGAAAATATTATTTGATATTAAAACAAATTAGTTAATTTATATACACACACAATACATAAAAGTTATTATTACATCTTAATTAAGAAAATTAATTTTTTAACATAATTATTAATACAAATATAAATTTACTTAAAATAATTTATAAATTTATATGTAATACATACAAATTATTATTACATCTTAATAGACAATTGAAATTTTAACATAATTATTATTATAAATATCAACTTAGATAATATTTACATATTCTACTTATAAATAAATTTTTCATATAAAAAATTATATTTACATTTTTAACTATAAAAATTATATCTCCTACTTTTTTAGTATAAAATTTATATTTAACGTTTCTTTTATTTGATATTAAATTAATTACAAAAAATTATATGTATAGCACTACATACAAATATTTATTGTATATTAATTAAAAACTATTCATTTTTAAAATAAGTATTAATACAAATAACTATTACATCATGATTAAAAAATAAAATTATTATTAAATCTATTAATACAAACTATTACTAAATAAAAACATTTATAAATAACATATGGTACATAACAAAAAATAATTTTTGGAAAATAAAAAACAATACAATTAAACTAAATATAATTAATTTTTGTTATACAACCTATTACAACATTATACAAATTATAAGTTACATGTTACAACCTATTACAATAAATAAATTATAATTTATACAAACTATCAATAAATTATAATTTCTCTAACAACATATTCCCTGTATACAAATTACATGTTAGTAAACTATAAATAGGTTGCTATTTTTTATTAAACAAATTTAATAATTTTCCTAAATATAAACACTATCTATATTAAAATATTAAAAAAATTAAAAAACTAAATATTGTTACTAACCTTTGTTGTAGTACACTTCTTAACACTAACTACTCACAAAAAAGGCCATGTAATTCTTAATCTTCAATACTTAATAAATTACAAAATTAGACTTTTATATTCTTTTTCAGAAATTTAAAATAAAAAATAAAATATCTAAAAATACATATTAAATGATTGATATCTCAAATAAACATTAAGAAATTGACAAAAAAAAAAACCTAATTTAACTTTGTACTTCACAAATTTTCAGAAAAAAAGAAAGCAAGAAAGAAAGAAAGAGAAGAATAGCGTAGATGTATGGAGGAAGAAGAAGAAAAAAAGGGAAGGAAAAATGGATCACAAGAGCTTAATGTTTGTTTAAATATGTGTCAACAGATCAAAAAGTTTCACAAAAGCTGTGGCGAAACTTATTTTTGCCAGGACAATCACGAAACATGCATAATGTTGTCAAATGTCCCATAAACGTTTTGAAAAAATTAGTTTTTTAAATTTTGTCGACAACTTTCACAATATTAACACGTGTTGTCTCCTAGTTTTGCTCTACTGAAAGTGAAATTTTGGTTAAGTTTTGCCAATATTTTAGCAGAACTTTTATGTGAGTGACATGTAACACAATTTTAACCATTTTTCAATTTTGACAACAATAGGTCTTAGGAAATCTTGTATTTTAAAAAAACAATAGTTAAGTAAAGAAGCCAACGATAAGTCTTATTAAAAAAAGAGAAAGAAACGAAACACGCTGCATAAACTATTTAAAATGAAAGTGATAAAAAAGGATGGGCTTTAAATAGAAGGCCCAAAGAGAAGGACGCACGAAGAAGAAACGTAACTGTTCTTCCAATCGAGAAAAAAAAATTGTTTTTCGAATCTAATTTAAGAAGAAATTGTTGTGGACCAAAAAGAAGGAGAAATTGATAAGTATCAAATATAAAATGAATCTATTTTATGTTTTTAACTTATGTTAAATTACCAATCGTATAAATTTATTTTTATCTCCCTGTTTTTTGGCGTGCACAACATTTCTCCCATATCAGAGAGCACAGGCGAAAACATTCTCCGAAAGATAAGTGAGAAAAACAAAAGCAGCTGAACCTATTTCGATCGCTTTGTTAGGTCAAAAGATTTAAGATTAGCACAGCGATGCAAGCTGTGGTGCTCAATACGCAATCCTATTGCAGAGGCCTAGAACCTCCTTCGTGTTCTCGTTCCTTCACCTTCAAAAAGGTTTTTTTTTTTTTTTATTCCCTTCTTTTTTTGTCGGGGTTTTCGCGTTCTTTTGAATTAACCTTGTTCTTATCTAGTTTTGCGATTTTTGCTTTCGCAGGGCACAAGATTTTTCTGCAGCCATGTTTCTTTCAGGAGGAGAGGTAACCTGCTGCGTCCTTCTGTTCGGATTCAGTTACCACAATCTACTCGTAGGCATGGTTAGTCACTCTTCAATTTCCCACTTTCCTAGATTCTTCCTTCGATTCAATTTGTTAGATTCAAAAGCTCTATTGTTGGATTGAAATCTCTGACTAATTTAGCTTCACGCATAATAAACTAATAATCTCTGTGCCCCATTATCCAAGTATCATTTGTATATATGTTGATTACTATTATCTTTGTCGTGGAGGCCTTAGTTTGTAAATATTGCTTCCGTCAATTTCAAATTCAGCTTGAGATTTTTCATGTATATGACAATTGGGAATCGAATGTCATCTTACTTATTATGCCTGTACAGTTGTAAAGTGTGTTGCTACTCCGAATCCAGCTGTGGAGTTGCCGTTAACTGCTGAGAATGTAGAAAGCGTGTTGGATGAAATTCGGCCGTATCTCATTGCAGATGGTGGAAATGTGGCCTTACATGAAATTGATGGCAATGTCGTACGGTTGAAGCTGCAGGGTGCATGTGGCTCATGCCCAAGTTCAGTTACTACGATGAAATTGGGCATTGAGCGCAGATTAATGGAGAAGATCCCTGAAATAGTGGCAGTCGAACCAATAGCTGATGAAGAAACTGGTCTTGAGTTAAATGAAGAAAATATAGAGAAGGTTAGTTCTGTGTTTCATTATGATTATTATGAATATACTTCACTGGTAATTCTGGATGATTCATATGTCGAATAAAATAATTGGTTTTTGGTCATCTGTCAAGAAAATATTTTCTTTCCGGCAGCAGACATCTGGTGGAATTAGGATATTGTTGTTGTTGCAAAACACATGTATAGGCGTGCCCATCCAAAAGGGGCTTCAAGAGGAAAAAATCACATCATGGGGAATATGAAAACTGAAACATATAATTATTGAGTGAACTTAATTGAACTATCTTAGATATTTCTCAAATCTGTACACGGTTTTGTTGATGGAATGGGATTTCAGATTAGCACTGGTTGTTAATATGGGGTTTAGACCTCAATATCAAGTCCTGCATTTCAGTAAAAGAAAGATGTTTTTGTTCTAAATGCTATTCATATTATTATATCTATAGGATTATGGTTACTTAGACCTGTCTAATATCAAAATAAGTACGTTTTTCATTGGTTTTATTGAATATGGCATAAGCTAATATATAAAGATTAGCATCATCTTCATCTAGTTTAAATGTTAAATTACTGTTGTTGCTGTCGTCGCTAATCGCTGGAACCCTCAGTTCTTGTCTTAATGAATACGTGTAAATTTCCATAATTAGTATATCAATAAAATGTTCACTCAGTTTAATATTTATTAACTGCTTCAGGTTCTCGAGGAAATAAGGCCGTACCTGGTTGGGGCTGCTGATGGATCTCTTGAATTGGTAGGGATTGATGAGCCAATAGCAAAGGTCCGAATCACAGGTCCTGCTGCTAGTGTTATGACTGTGCGTGTTGCTGTTACACAAAAACTACGAGAGAAAATACCTGCCATAGCTGCAGTTCAGCTTTTATGATATGTTGATTCGAAACAATAGAACTATCATGCCATTCTTGTAATTTTTCCTGAACAACACTAATGGAAATAATGTGATGTATAGTATATATGCAGCCACAGGAATTTTTTCTTTTGCCTGGGTAAATTCAATATTTATATGGAGCCATAACCACGCAATGGAAGGGTTCTAGTATTGAAGCCAAGCTACTCATATTTCCTTTTAATGACTAAAGCTCAGTAATGTTAAAGGCGTGATAATTTTGTTATGACAGCCTGTTTAACAATGATTGGATTTAGGTAAACTCTAATATATATATTGACACCCCTAATATAATGTCAAAAATTTGCAAATCATATACGCATGAATCCTGTGATAAGGGTTTTAGGAGAGTTTCGACTCCAAATTTTGTTAGAAATAAAAGAACTTTCTCCTAGGTTCAACACTTTGGATTGTTTTTTATCCATATTTTCTATTTAAGAATAGTGTATGATCTATGAATTAGATTAAAATAAGATTCCTTTTCTCCTTTTAAAGTTTAATTGATAATGAATTTGCATTTATTTCAATGTTATCGCTATAATTTATTTATAGAATTCACGCTTGCAGAATTTTAATATATTTTCAAATACAATTACTTTTATCGTGTCAATGTTTTCTCACGCTCTTAAATCACGTTGGATCATTAAAAATGCGCTTCATTTGGGCATAGTACACCCGAGCAGGGAGAAGCTTCGTTGCAACGTAGAAACTGCAAACTGCATTAAAGGAAATCAACTATAAAATAACCATACGCAACACCACATCCAATCTCCCCCAAAATAGGCATTCATTAGATGTCTTAAAATAATTGCCCACTAATAGCTATGTATAAAATACATCAAAATTACAGTTCTATTTCAATTGCAGGCTAAGATACGCAGATATGAATTCCAGGAATGATATTTCACGCTCAAAATTTTGGAAAGACAAGTGAAGTGTGGAAAACATGAGAAATAATCTGGAAAATCAGCGCCAGAAACTCGCTCGTCAGGTGCCCTTCATTTGGGCTAGCAGTGCTTTCAATTTAACAATAGAGGAACAAAATTGCAGATGATGTTACAGGCTTTCCCTCATAGATGTTATCTGCCTATCACATGCATGTGTAAGAATATCGGTGTTTATCTTAATGACAGTAAAGTTTAATCAGTTTATCAGCACCAGCTGTAAATAACCAGGGCTGTCTGGGGTGAAATTTACAGTCCAATATCCCTGCAAGGCAGACAACTTAGGAGTAAGATAAGGATTTTTTTTTTCAATTGTTAGCATATAAGTTATTATTTTCTAATGCATTGTCAAGTAAGCACATGACGTTTAGTAGAAAAGAGAAATAACAAGGGCATAACATCAAACATAAATACTTTTAAGGTTGGTTGATCAACTATTTGTAATCATGTCAACAAGTTATATCTACAAGGATCATATGGTGTAAAGATGAACTCTAACCCTTGAAAGCCGATTCAATTGATTGGAAAGTTGGTCTAATCATTCAAATGTTATGTAAAGAATATTTTTTGTGGGTGGTATTTTTAATCATATAGTCCAATCAATCTAGGATAGCGGCAAGATCCTAAAAACACTATAGCAGGATGACCTCTATTCTAAAGACAATCAAAACAGAGAAAGAAAATAGATCAAAGATTGTTTAATCACCCAAAAAAGCTCTAATGCAAATAGTCTTACTGGAAAATGTCTCACTATCATAAAAAAAAGTCTATATCTTGTCGGAAATAGCTTGGGTTACAGTGGAAATTAAGAAGACAACAGGAAGATGTCTCGGCTCATGTTAGAAATAAGTTGAGTTTCCCCGGAGATGAGATGACAATCAGAACTTGGCCAAAAATGGTGACTTGCACTAGAAAGTGACATCAAAGATGGAAGACGAAGAAAGAGAATGACAGAACAAAGATGGAGGTAGGGTTCCAACTTTCAGAAATATAAGAGGGCAAAATCCCTCCCTTAAAAAGCATTCCAACCTTTAGAAAAGGAGGGCAAACTTGCCGTTTTGCCCTAGGATGAAATAGCAGCCGCTAGGGCTGCAATTTGCTTAGCTTTCTGTCACAATTTGCGGAACAACCGCTGCTACAATGAAACCCGACAGGAATAGCGGCACCAGCCAATCAGGTGCCAATCTGCTCCACACCTCCGTGATAGGTGCCGCTATGACGCTATTGACTACTCTCGTCCAACGAATTACAAAATTTTTCTCTTGTTTCTTTACTTTGGCTCTGCTAATGAATCAATAATCTACAAACCAATCTATAAGGACACAAATAAATGTGCACCAAAGCAGCAAGTAGCATCGCATCTATCCCATTACTCTGTTGACAAGGCTATGCCATTATAAATGAATACTATATTTTGGGTCTTATGGTCCTTTTCACCTTTGTAGTTGAATGCTTGGCTCGATCTTTTTCCTTGTTAGACAAGGCTAAGCCAGTATAAAGAAATCCAATCTTGGCACTTTTGATGCTACTTTTATCCTAAACCAATTTTATAGCTAAAATGCTTGATTAACTTTTTTCAAGTCGGCCTGAACTATACTTTCCACAAAATTGGATCTCAACTTCTATTAACACCAAAAGACGCATCATAAACAGGTCTCACCTCTCCCATTTGAACTTGTATGGCCTCGTAGAATTTCCAAAGGAACAATAAGAGGATTTTGATTGAGATCAGAATAAACCATTCCATGAAAAACATATGCAGTGCAGTCATCTGAACAAGAAGCAAACAAGGGATATGAACGATGAAAGACCACATTGTTGATATCTTTTGGGTGACACCTGCAATATAATCAAATTATTAAAAAATAATCCATGTCATGACATTAAAATACAGAAAGCAAGGTTTCTAATCCAAGTTGTTGCCAAATATCTAATATAGCTCATTCAAGCATCAAAGGCGTTCACCAATAATTAACAAACAAAACATGTCCATCTTTTATGTTCTCTATTTCCTTTTAGTTTAGTCTTTTCGAAAGAATGAAGTTTTGCCCTATAAATATGGGCTGGGCTTTGCTAACACTGGAGAACTAGTTAGAGTGTAATAAATGTAAAAGTTCAATCCACAATTGGCTGAAGAATTTAGCACGCTGCATGAAACACAATTTTCAACTTAGATTATAAGCCAAATAAATATAGATGTCAAACTTAGATAATTAATATAATAAAAAATTATAACCATAACATTAGATCAACACAAGTTAACACATTCATTTGCATTGATAATTTTATAACCAGCACATACATGCCCACATTAAAATTGGTAAACAACAGAAATAACCATGCCAAGTTTTACACTATATTAGAACTTCTCACAGATTTCTCTTTCAACCATTTATTATTGTTTGTTTCTGTTTTTAAGGTAATAATTTCCTCCTCGCATTCAGAAAGCTCTATAGCTCACACTATAATATAATCTGCATTAGAAAGCAAGGAACCACCTTGGCACAAATTTGAAATTGCTTTCAATTAATGGATAAAAGGGACTTACTTAAGAATTTTATATGGTTTAGATGAAAGGTCCATGTCAAACCAACACATCTTTCCTTCTTTGCTCCCCACAATTAAATTATCACCTGCAAGGAATGCATGAAGACAAACAATTATGATCTATAATCTTCTGTATTTATGAATAGAAGAGAAACTGATCACAAATTACAAAATAATTTCTTTATAACAATAATCATACCTCCAGGATGAACTGTAATGGATGAGGCTTCACGAAGCCCAGTATCAAGCTTTTTTATGAGCTTAGTCTTCAATAAATCATACACACGAACACTCTTTTTTGTACAAATAAAGAAGATGGAACGGGATGGATGGAAGGTAGATCTAACCGCAAGTCCATGTAACTTGAATGGAAGTTTTTGAGTAAGCTTCTTGGATAACTGGTGTATCAGAACTGCTCTTGATTCACGTAAAGAACTTGTCAAGGAAAAAACAAGCCAAGCCATAGTTTAACATCCTATACCGCTAATTTTAATTCCATCCAGTAAAGATAAGAAATCAGTGAAAAATTTGGTAATCAAGGATAAAGTACCCACACACTAAACACAGCTATGAGTAATGGAAGATTAATATGACATGGAATGGGTGGAATGACATGACAAATAACACCCATGTCTAAATGGTTCTATTTATGCTAATTAGATGAGTCAAGAGCTGGCCATGCCTCATGTTGTGTTGAACCAAGGTATATTATACTAACATGTGTGCAAAAACAAGTATGAGCACATTTATGTGCATATGCCCAACAAGAGGCAAATAAAAATTTCAAAAGCATACCAAAAATATGTATAAAAAAATATTTTTCATAAAACAATCAGCATCACTTTCAGAAATGTAGTCATTATTGTCATTGTCAAGTAATAAACCAATTATTAATGAGGTATGCATCAGTTTACTGAGGCAGCACTCAAAAAGGATATCTGCTGGCATCACTGTTGAAAAGTAGTCACCTTTCCGATGCCATTCTACAGCAGTAACAGTCTGCATGAATACATCCACTAATGTTTAATTTAATTAAACTCAAAAACTTCAATCAACAAGAAACCAATATGGAAATACCTTAAAATGTCTTAACCGTAAACCCCCATGTTTATCATCTTTAAGCCAGCTTACACTAGGTGCTTTGTTGCCTGCAAACAAAAGCATGGTTAGAAAATAACAGAAAAAACCAGCATGGAACATCAAAAGTCATCAGTAATGACATATATATCAAGTCAATATCTTTACATCATAGTAGTCAATCCCAAATAGTGGCACGAAGCGGCTAACCTTCAAAACACTACAGGGCAAATTCAGAATTTCTAAGCAAAACAGAACAGTGGCGACGCTACAGGGTTGCATAGCGGAACTGCACCGCTACGCCGCAATAGCGGCAGCTATTGATAACTATGCTTTACATAGTGACCAGTTAGCTTTAAATTTTGAGCTGACCCTTTTTTCCCCTTTAATTGAAGGTTGAGTTAGGGGCCATAGGCCAATTTGAGCGTTGGGATCCCTGGGGGCATTCTTTTGAATAAAGGTTTCAAGAAAGAAAGGACAATAACACTGACCAGAGTCATCTGATGCTGTTGATGAGTCAATCCAGAGAAGCTCCTCAATCCTTTTCTGCTCTTCTCCATCCCCCAAACAAGTATTTAGTATAAGCACATCTTGTCCCCTAAATTGAACATTTGCCATTGGTTTATTTTCAGAATCAAACCACATGCATTCAAGAGGAAAACTTTTAGGTTTTAAGTTTTTTTATTTTAGAAAAACAAAACATGAACCTTCATAGTCAACAAAACCAGACTTACACAGAAACAGCCAGAATATGAATATCAGGCAAAGGGTTCCAAGCAACACAGTTAACAGGTTCACCAACCTCCCACCGCCTAAGACATCTGCCAGTTTCAACCTCCCAGATACGGACAGTTCCATCACTTGAACCTTTACAAACAACAAATAATGAGGGACCCACCTCCATCCCAGCTTAATTGAGACTGAAATATATGTCATCAGCGTGCATACCTGAAGCCATCCACTGCCCTGAAGCTTCAAGCGAAATTGATGTAACTGCATCTTCATGGCCTTTATACTCGATATAGCATGTTATGGGATAAGGTTTAAGCTCCTTCCGATTTGGAAGCTTTGGCTTTAAGGATTCAGGATCAATATTAAGCTGGAAAGAAAGAGAAAAAGTAAATAAATAGTACCAATTGTATGTATAATAAAATCTTAATGTAAGTAAAAGTAAAACATTTGCAATGAAAACAAAATCATTAAATTAGTTCTGCAACATGGGTATTCTTCACTCACGCGTTTTTTCCGAACTCGAGGGCACAAGTACAAGTCCAAACAACGTTCAAAGGATTCCTTCATAGCATTCTCATAGGCAGGGATGCTCCTCAAAGATGTAAACCTGACCAAAGTGATATTTATTAGTTCATCTGTAGAAAAAGGAAAGGGGCATGGGGGCAAAAATGTTTCTACTGCAGGCACAATACCTTTTTGGAATAAACTTGGGCCGGTCTTCCTCATACATCAATTGATAAGAATTGATCTCTTCTTGGGTAGGAATGTATTCTAAAGGAGGATTATAGGACTCTTCATGGCCTAAGAAGCAGGGTTAAATTATTAACAATCAAGATACCTCAAAGTCAAAGGTAAAACTAGCATCATCTATTGGTAGATTTTTTATCTTCAAAATTTGTCACATCTAAATACCAGGTAATTTCTGCTTTGGTGCAGGAACGTAAGCTAAATGATTTGCTTTTTCCATTGAACCAGAATCATCTCCCCACAAGAGATATGGACCATCTTCCTCCTTAGGCTTGTCAAAAGTTATTAATCCCTTGCGGATTGCTCTAACATACTGTACAACCTGAAAAATCATAGAAGTAAATGAGTGAGTTATTAGAAAAACCAATCTGTTTTGTCTGTCTAACCCCATACTAGTTGACTCATTTTACATCATGTGCAAACGGTAAGCAAAGGAATTATCACCTTTTTAGCTTCCCATTTTGAAGGAATAAACCTCCTTTTTGGCTCAGGTGCATTAGACAATGGATGCTTGGCATCATCCCATTTAAACCAGTCAACGTAATCCTGAATAATAGAAAGGAGAGATGAAATTAAGGAACAAAGCTACGCACAATGATTGCATTTAAAACCTTATTCTTCAATATTGGCAGCCAAAAGAAAAAGATAAGAAAATGAGATGGAAAGTAAATCCAAACCGGATATGGATCAAAGTCAGTATGTGGAGCCCGATTCTTGAGAAGTCTACGAACTATTTTGATTTCATCTTTTGTCAGCTCCACTTCCTCATCATTGTACTCATCATAGACCTTCCGCCTTAATGTTTAAGAATGCAGACAAATCAAAAATGTTTTATAAAAAGGAGTTAACATTAATAAAACTAGCAAGATTATTCCTTCACAGAAGCATATGTAATAAGGGGAAGAAAAGAAACAACTTTAAAACAATATCACAACAGGAATCATGCAAAAACAAACCAAGGTATATTTGTAACTAAAGCAAAAATATCATAGCCATGATTATCTTAGAAACTTATAGTAGATAGTGAAAGCTCAGTACCGGTATCAAATGAAAGGAAAATGAAAAAATGTGGAAAAATAAACACAAAATTTCTGGTTTTGATATTTCATGTTCCTAAAATGTCTATGGAAAATTATTGTTACACTGAACTCTTTACAACAATATAACAACCAAAGTATTTTCTCACTAGATGGGGTTGACTTGGACCAAATGTTGCCACTGCACTGTCCAAAACCAATTATTCAGCAAGGCCATTTGATGGTAGACCTTTTTTTATAGTAGTTTTACCTAGTCTTGTTTGGTATACCTGTACCTCTAATTATTGAACTATTCTCCATGCGATCAACTCTTCTAACTGGAGCCTCTAATCATCATTCTCTTGGACTTGTTTAAACCATTTTACGGGTGATTCAACCAACTATTCCAATAATGATCACTGGTAGACTTATTTGGTGCAAATTTGGTTCAACTTATTTTGAAGAAAATATTATTTATTTTCGTCAGTTCTTGAGAAAACGTTGGATAAAAAAGGAAATTATTTCCCAAAACAAAAAAGTTCCCAAACCTGCAGTTATGTTCCAAAATTATCCAGTTTAAATTGTTTTAATCTATTATAAATCTTTGTGTCGTCCAGCGCAAAAAAAAAAAAAAAAAACGCATTCTGATTCAAATTTTAGGCTTCAACGTTCTTGAAGACATACCAAATGGAAATATTAAAAGATCTCTCTCTCTCTCTCTCTCTCTCTCTCTCTATATATATATATATATGGAAGTTGTGTGTTGGTGTTCATAAACATTAGGAGAAGAAAAGAAAGCACTAATGGAAACTGAAATAAAGAAAATATGATGACGTAGAAATATGAAACTAACCAATTCTTAGAATCATCAACATTAGCCAGAAATGAATCCAACTTGTCACGCTTTTCTTTTTTCTTAATCTTCTTGCCCTTGATGTCGTATCCAATATGAGGTTCGTCTTCGTACCACTTCAAAGGGACATCTCCAACAGTGTTTCGGGGAGCCACCTGTAAAAGGAAAAACAAAACAAGCAAAATTCAACTCCATAGAACGAGGTAAAACCAAGTAAAACAGAAGATGACTATGAGTATGACGGTGACCACCTCATCCTCGGACGAATCACTCTCAGCTCCTTCCTGATGGAGATCGGAGATTTCACTTCCACCAACTTCTTCATCGGTATCAACAATGTCCTGCAATGATTGCTTCTATGCATATTAGTTATGCCTGAGCGAAGATGAGAATAACCACACCACCACAGTTATTCTAGCTAGGTTATTAAGAACAAAAGCAATGTACCTCATCTTGAGATGATACAGCTTCTGCAGGTTCTACCTCGCCAGAGTGATCGTTACCAGGGGAACCATCTTCTAATTCCGATTCAGATTGAGAATCCAGCGAGTCCGAAGAGTCGCCGTCATCTTCAGAAGAGTCCTACAACCAGAATATGAGAGCGCGTGTTCCGCATGAGTATAGTTACAGTTGCACATACTTGAACGAATTCACAATCCATTGATGGTAGAATACCTCATAATCAGAGTCGGAATCGGATACTGTTGGTGAAGGAATCATCTCAGATGAAAACGGAGCATCCTCGTCGTCGTCTCGCGTCATGGTCTTTTTCCCCTTCATCTTTGCGGATAGGGAGTTAGGGTTTTGTGTGGAGGAGGGAAAGGGTTTTACAGTTGGAGGCTTAGAGCACCCACCGCACCGCAATTCCACTCCCTCCATTTTGGGCTCCGTCAATCGGGCCCAACCACAAACGAACTACTTCAGATATTTAATATTAAGAGTATTTGTCGACAAAAAATTATTTATTAAGAAGTATTTTATTTGAATTAATTTAAAATATTTAATATGCGGATAAGTGAGCAATAATATTTAAATTTTTATTTCATTCAAAAAGAGAAATGAAGTCAAATATAATTATTAAAAATATAAAAAAAAATTGTGAGCAAAAGCCTAATACAATCATCTATAAACAAGGTTTCAAACATAAAATTATACTAATAAAATCTCAAGTGTAAACTTTTCTATATCACTTCATCCCAAAAACCATGAATAATTCTTGAACAAACAATTATGCTTAATTCAAGACCAAACAACTAGAAAATAGTTCCTTAGATTAAATCTATCTATACTTTTTTTTTAATGAATCCTTTTTTTTTTCTTTTTATTGTTTCCTTTCTTTCTTTGTTATTAACTGTATTGCAATATTCTCAGTGTATTTTTAATATTATTTTGATATTTTAATTTAAAATTAAAAGTAGAATTGATTTTTTTTAACTAGTTTAGTAGTCTGCAAAGTACACTGGTATTTTGTTTGAGTAAATATACATATGATTTAATAATTTAAATATAAAGGCTTATATTTTGCAAATGATTATATATTATATATAATAAAATGATTTTAAAAAATGATTTTTTTAAGATTATTTTGACTTAACTCTATAACTTACAACTTACAAATAGTATGGATTAAAGATTTAATCAAATTAAATAAATTTAAAATAATTAAAATATAATCAATTGAAAATAATATGTTTATTGCATAATGTCAAAATATTTAATTAAATATCAACAATCAATATATATTTATCATTATAAATTTAAGAGATAAAACTCTTAAAATTAAACTCTAAATTTGAAAAATATAAAAATAAATATTCACAAATAATATAAAAATTCATAAAGTGATAAAAAAAAGTTAACTAACAATTTTAATCTCCAGAATTTAGAACTTAACAAAGACATAAATAAAAATAAAATCATCAAAACAAAAAAAAATGTAATCGACACATCATTTCAAATTAATTTTAATTGTAAAATGTACATGTGTCAAATAGTGAAAGAGAGTAGTTTTATTAATTCTTCAATTCTCAAATAGTAAACTTTTACTGATAATATAGAGGTTAATTTGTGTTAAAAATTATTTTGAATCGTAATTTCATATTGCATTAGTACAACATGAAGTAAGAAAAATAACTACTTCAAGCTTTTATAATTATTAATTAACATATGAAAAACTGCTACATTAAAGAATTAAAATGTATTAAACGGGAAATATAAAAGACAAGTCTCCCCCTACCTATATTTTAAATAAAATATTTATCTTAGTGACATTAACATAAATTTAAGAGAGAAAAAATTGAAATTAATCTGTCCAGTAAGAATACACAATAAACAGTTTATTGAAGAATATATTACAGTGATACTTTTATTGGTTAGACTTATTTTTAAAGTTATTAAGATTATAAGATATTAAAAATGCAGGAAAAATAGTTTTCAATCTAATTTTAAATGGTTATTTTATACTATTAATTATATTATTTCACTTTAAACGTTTAATTATTGTATATTGAATAGTTTTTGAAATGATTTTAACAATTACTTTGTTTTCAATTTTATGTCTTTCATTTAAAGAATGGAATTGAAATTATGTTAAAGTGATAATTTTACACCATTATTTTTCGGACAACCTTAAAGCATAAAATTTATAAGTTAATTATGAAATTAATTTTGAATTATAATTCTATTCCGAAGTACATATTCACAACTTATTCAAGTTGAATTGATTGCCAATCGTTACCGCTTATAAATAATTCTATGGACCTCCTTTGTACTTACTGATTTAATTCATTTTTCGGCTCAGGATCGTATGTGTCGTTCATTTGAAACATGGCCAGCTCGCTGCGGTCAAAATAAAATACACTGCAAAACTAAAAATTACAACACCGAAGCAAAATCCCACACGCATAAGGACGAAGAGAATAAAGTCCTCCTCAAGCCATTACCAGTGTTATGAAGAGAACAAAAGGAAACACATGCTTGCTACAAAACTTTCAATCTACATATATAAAGCGCGGTGGAAATAGGAATTCCTCTACGAAAACCGACCTAGAAATGCAATTTCAGTTATCTAAGCCTCCGTTTTGTTATACTTGTCTTTTGCAGCCTTGACCATAGATTAAATGCTCTTCAGCATTGGCAGTATCTGAAAAACAAAACACCAACAAACGGCTCCATGAATCGATCATAACTGGCTACAGCCCAAGTTCAGAAAGGAGCTGGCGCCATCTTGGAGTTTCTTCATCAAAAATATAGGTCAAGGGTGATATAAGAACTCCACTGCCTCCAATCTGCATAATATGAACGAAGTCAACAGGAAATCAGGTGTGAGAATCACAGATGAATAAGAAAAAAATATAGTTTTTCGATATGCATAAGCTTTGGAATTTCATTAGGTCGAATGGCCTAATAATTTATCCAGAACCAGTGAAGGAGTATAGCTGGGTTGTCTTGTCTGCACTCTGCAATCTGCTCATTCAACAAACACCACGCATTCTATCTGTCTCTCCTAATTTTCCTCCCATGTTTCCCCCACAAGCTCACAACTATCTTCACCAACAAGATAATAAATCCAAAAAACAAGTGTTTTTGACATTAGTTCAAAAACTCACCGCTCTAAGTTGTTGTATAGACTTGTATAGTGCCTTCTTAGGCACACATATGACTATAGCATAGTAATCAGCTGTTACCTTCCCATCTCGCTTGCAGAAAACAGGACTTACAGTGGGTCCCTACAGATAGACAATCAAGTGTGCCTCTTACAATTAGGAAAGAGTTTATATCAAAAGATGATTCATGACTTAGAATACATCAGATTTTGCTAATGCAGAAAGCAAATGAATGAAATGATGAAAGCGGGAAGAATTAGCACTGGGGCAAATATTTCATCCCATAACACACCTGCAAGCCAGATAATGATGGCTGACTCAGTACTCTCTCAGCCACTTCCTCTGCACTGCTTCCCCTCATGTTTGCAGTTACCTGTCAAGTTTAGCATTAGAAAATGGAATGAAAAGAATGGCAATCACTGGAGGAGTTGGGGGGATTGGGAATTATAAATTATGCACCGTGAACTGCCCAATGGCCCTCAGATGTGCCTCCAATCTCTCGAGCATCTCATGTGTTGTTTCAAGTACTCCTTTCCGTTGGATCATTGATTTCCTGCTTGCAACAAGAACAGCCTGAAAAACATTCAATTGTTAGAGTGAGATAAAATCTGACAATACATAATGCAGAAGCAGTTGCTCAGTGCCTTCTTTCTCTAATAGTAAAACCAACAAAGCATGATAGTCAAGGTCAGAAAAGTCAATAATTGCTAACCTGACTTTCCAATACAACTCCACCTTCAATTTCCTTCAAGTTATTTTCTCTCAGTGTAGTCCCACTACTTACAAGGTCCAATATAGCATCTGCTATCCCCATCTAAATATAAAAAGACAAATAGCAGCAAAGACGCAAGAATCATAAGCAAAGGAATACAGTGGGAAAATTTTTGTCCGGAAAGGGGACATAATTTCTACAAAAAGATTCATTGTTTGCACAATGACTTGATTAAAATCCTAACAAAAAATAACACTAATAAATGTTGCCACAGAAAAAAATTCCTTAGTATGTTTTGTCATTTCATTAAGAGCAGTTTGCAATGCCAACAAACATTTGGTGCAGTAGTTTTATGCTGGTCACCATAGCATATAGAAGGGAAACAACAGAAGCATATAGAGCTAATAATCTCTTGCATTGCATGGAGAAAACACATTTTTAGGGAACAGTCAAGAAATATATAATTTTAATTTTAAATACTATATTTGTCATCATTGAATGCAAAAGATTGACTGCTCTATGCATATCTATCAACAACTAACCAGATAGAAAGCACTGTAATTTGCAGTCTTTCTGTTAGGTAACCCCCATTAGTAGTTTGTTTAAATAGATTACTTAGTTATCAATTAGTTAGTTATACTAGTGGGTTAGTTAGTTAGGTGAGTTTGAATATAGCACGTTGCCTATAAATAATAAAAGGGGTTGAGAGGAAGATGTGATCTGGTGATTTCAGAGGAAATACAAATTGTTGTGGGAGAGTCCAAGCCTCTCGAAAGTCCTGGGAATCATTTACATTCTTTTCAGAATAAAAACTTTTCTTTCTACAATTCTTATCCAGTTCTATCAATTGGTATCAAAGCTCCGATCTTGGAGCTGTGGGTGTAGAGTTCTTGCACATGATTCCAACATTTGATGGGAAGGAGGATTATTGGTGGCTGATCCAGGTAGAGCAATTTTTTGAACCCATTGGAGTACACATGAGGAAGAGAAGCTATCAAGGCAGCAAAGGCTCTAAGAGGTGATGCTCTCAACTGGTGACTTACATGGAAATGGTGCAACCAATATGCAGAGTGGTGGACATTTGTGAAAGCACTGATCAAATGATTCCAACCAGAGTATGATTTTGATCAACCATTGTGGGAAAAGGTGCAAGAAAACACAACAGAAGATGAAGGCTTAGAGAAAATAGAAGCCGTTGCTCAAGGACATAAAATGAACACAAGAAAGCTACAAGAATTGGGAGAAAGCCAACAACATTCTGGACAAAAAATGAAAAGAAAAAACAAAAGCAAAAATGACATTCTTGAGATCAAGAATCACAATGGCATAGATAAGGGAGGGGGCTTTCTTTGGGTTGTGAAGTGGAGGCAAAGGTTGAGGAAAGCCCTAGCTTTGGCATGAGCAGTGAACCTAGGACTGATTCGATGACAACAGTGGAGGGTTCAGGTTTGGGCAGTATGAAAAACCCATTCCTTCGCCATACCCACATGATTCAATTCCTTCCATGATGTGGGGTGATTCAACATCTATAACAAAAATTTGCATATCAAGTGAGGTGGACAAGCTGCTCCTACCTGAACCACCTGATTGTGGTGAATGTGTGGAGGCCAAGGCAGTACATGATGGAGATGAAAGCAGATAAAGTAATCATTCCACAAGGCCAACAAATAATTAGTGAGGAGAAGGGAGCATGGACAAGATTGGAAGTTCCTAGGAGTGGTGGAATTCATGAGGTTGAGGTTTAGCAGCCATGTCACAACTGAAATCCAAATCAAGAATTCAACAAATCTTGCCTATGTTGTGTTCTTGTTAGGGTGAGAAAAATTGGTAGACGAAGTACAAAAGCTGTTCAGAAAGAAGAACGAGAAACATAGGATTAATATGAATGTTTTGACTACACAGTAGAACATATATTTATAACATGAATCAATAATACAGAATATACAAATACTTAGTTACAGTAATTACAAAAATACTAATTTCTTTATTTACAGTATTACTATAATTATATAATTCTACCCTCTCCTTCAAGTTAGAGCATATAAATCATATGCACCAAGCTTGCTACATGTAAAACTAATTTGAGGACCTCTTAAAAGACTTGGTATAGACATTGTCAGTTGATCATAATTTACAAAACTAGTAGTAATGTCTCCGGATAAAATCTTCTCTCTAACAGTGTTATCAAATGGCGATTATGGCACCTAACACAGGGTATTTTTCCCTCAAGCCACCACAAGCATGGCAGTATTTAACGGGTTGTAGATGGGCAGCTATTATGTGCATGGCAGCCATGGCGGAAAATGTCAGTTTTTGAGGAAAAAATTGAAATGGACCTCTGATCCGACCCGATTGAAAGTGACCCAAGAACCAAAAAGCATACTTATTGATAGCGTTGCTATTGCGCCACCACAGAACGATGGTCAGCCACGAAATACTTGCTGTTGTGAAGTGTTTCTTCCATAGTAAAGATCGAGTCCTAATCGCAAATAAGTTCTTGGTGTGGGTACACATTTTTGAAGCATGATGGAGAAAGGGAGTGAAAGCCCAATTTTGCCCCAGCTACAATGTCATTTAGGGCTTTTTTAAGGGCAAAATGAAACTTTTATCCCACTTAAAAGTTTTTCTTTCTCTTCTCGAGCAAGCGTTATGTTCTCTCTCATGCTCTATTTTTTCTCCTTCTTCTCTAAAGCCAACTTCTCCTTCATCTCCTTCTTCACCATTTTTGCTGGAGAAGACATCCTTTCCAGCATCTATGAGGAGGGCCCTATTTTCCATTTTGCTTCTGTTTGCTGTTTTCTTCTTCAAACAATGTTTTGTTTCTCACTCAATATGCTCCTTTAATATATTTCAAAATGTGAATTACTGCATTCCAATGTCCGTCACAAGGAAAGTTAAAGAACTGACTCACAATATTGCAAAAGAGATGTATGGACAAGTAACTATTAGATAGTTTAATTTTCTAACCAATCTTCTATACCTTTCTAGATTTGAAAGTGACTCTCCTTCACTTGGCAGAAGTTTGGTATTAGGATCCCATAGGAGTATCAATGGGTTTGGCCCCCTTCAATCTTGTTCCCTCTAGGATATTCATTGCATACTTCCTTTGAAAAATCACAATCCCACTCTTGGATTGTGCCACCTCAATCCCCAAAAAGCATTGAAGTCTACTAAGATTTTTTGTTTGACAATACTAACAAAGGTGTTGTTTTACCTGTTCAATGTCATGGTGATTACTTCCTATAATGACAATGTCATCTAGATACACAAGTAAATTCAATCAGAGATTGAATGACAATAAATAACTGAGTGGAAAGATGTCAGTGATGGATAGCAGCCATAGATATAAGTAGCCAGACAGATGTCATTTTGGCAACAAGAGGGAAAATGTCACCGTAGTCCAAGCCAAATAGGGAAGAATGAAAAACATAGGATGAATCCATATGTTTTGACTAAACAGCGAAGCATATATTTATAATAGAGATTATTAATACAAAATATATAGTTACGTAGTTACTGTAATTACAAATATACTGATTTTTCTATTTACAGTATTACTATAATTACATGATTCCAACAAAAGAAAAAATGGAAGTCCAACATTAGTTCAGCAGCAGCAAGAGTGGGAAGAGAGTACAATATAGTCGCTAAGTTTGGTTGTACAATTGATGCCTTTGAAGAAATTATAGGGATGAGGCAATATTCAAAAGGTGTCACTTCACTAGATTTTGGGCCACAGCTCATTTTTGTGCTTCATGGGGAAACTTATGCACCTGTTGCATCTGTAGCTATGAGAAAAAGAGACAACCAACTTTTATGCTTTAGACAATGGAACCCTAGTGGAGTTGTAATCCTTCTCCGTGACAACAAGGTGAAGCTTTAGGGAGGGGAGTATTATTAGGTAACCCCCATTAGTAGTTTGTTTAAATAGATTACTTAGTTATCCATTCGTTAGTTATACTAATGGGTTAGTTAGTTAGTTAGGTGAGTGGGTTTGAAAATGGCATGTTGCTTATAAATAATAAAAGGGGTTGAGAGGAAGATATTATCTAGTGATTTGAGAGGAAATATAAATTGTTATGGGAGAGTCCAGGCCTCTCGAAAGTCCTAGGAATCATTTACATTCTTTTCATTTAATGGAAACTTTTCTTTCTACAATTCTAATCCAGTACTTCTATCTACAGTTTGAACATCAACAATTTCAGCTACTATACACTTACAAAATATTTATCTATTGGGATTGAGATAATATTTAACTATGAAAGTAGTATATTAAGCTATAGAACAAAGATATAATATCTACAAACAATTATAGCAAGCAAGATCACCCCAAATTCCAACCGTGCTAGAAGCCAAAAGAAAAATCTTGTTATAATACAGTATTATCAATTATATTCTTGATAACTAGAAAATTTAAATGAATAATGTCTAATAAAAAAACACTATCTCTCACCGCTGGAGCAGCCTCCAATGCTCCATCAGCAGTTGAAAATGTCACATGCTTAAGTCCATTCTCTTTCATAAATTTGGGCCCCAGCTGAATAGTAAATCCAAATTTCAAATCAGATTTCCTCTTTTTAAAAGCTATCAGTAGAAATCTACCACAGTGATAAAGATTAGAAACATTAGTTGAACCTGAAATACTTACATAGGTGAATCCAGTAGCAACTCGTAGAGGCTTTTCTTCCGTCCATTGAGGCATTTTTGCTAGCTCCTCCATTGAATTTATATTTTCAAATATTCCATATTGGGGAATCTGAGATAACAGAGGGTACTCTAGATAATTGATTGTCCAAAACAATAATAAGAGAAGAATCAGAATCTAGTAATTTTACAGCATCATAATTTTAACTCACCGCAAGGGATAGATGGCAATCACCATACTCCAGAGCCTCATGGACAATGATAAGATCTTCATTACTCTAACAAAGGAAAATTATAAGATAAATATTTTGATTCTCAGGTATACCTTGGGGAATTTATCTGCAATTACAGTTAAACATAGGGGCACAGCAAATTTTCAAGCTGGAAATTTGTGATATAAGTTAATTAAGCCACATACAACAATTGAAAAAAAACATGTAAAATAAACACTCAATGGAACCTGACTGGGGAACAATCAAGTTTTATTACTCCAGGAGACAGGGAATAAAAGTAGCTATTAAATGAAAGAGCCAGTAATCTCAAGGGAATTTGTTCATACTGTAGAAGGAAAAAACGATAGCAATCATGATTTCAATCAGCCAAAAAATGTTCATACACATGCTCACCTGGCCATATTCACTGACTGTATCAAGTCCCACAATACCAAGGTCAAGATCTCCAGATAACAATTTTCTTACAATGTCTTTAGGCCTCTGAAACCAAACTTCCAAGTTGGACAGCTGCAATGGAAGAAAATTGATTTATGATCATTTAGCAGCACTTGGGCAAACAATTAAGGTGAGGTCATCTACAGGTGTTAATCAACACACTTATTAATAGGCTTCAAGAAAAACAGCTTCATATAGCACGGCATAAAGTGGCACTGTGGGATGGCAAAGAGCCATATCAAAATTCTACAAAATTTGTTAACTTAAACTAACAACCACAAAATGTAAATGTTCACATAATAAGCAAAATGCACACACACAGTGAGAGCCTGTAAATCACTAGTGAGCTCTCACATGATAGGTGACTGCTCTTTTAACAATGCAAAACATAAGGATGGGGTATCATGGAGTTATGATTATGACTCGAAACTGTGGAATCTCACAAAGCGAAGGAAAAAAGAGAACGCACCTGGGGAATTTCAGCAACATACTGTCTGGGATTGACCTGCTTCACTGACAATTGACAATTCTTCAAGGACAAAAGAAGACAGAATTACAGTCAGTAAAAGACAAACCCCGAAAAGAGGAGGAAATTAAAAATTAAGTGCATTTATTGATTCAACAATTACATGCGTATTTGCTTTACACCAGGAATCAACTCCCTCCACTATGCACACATTCCAACGTAAAATATATGACCGAGATTAATTTAGGCATATATCTCAATTTGGTGCCAACAACAAAGCTTTGATTACGAAACTCGAAATTTGAAGACATAAACAATGTAATCTACATGAACAGGCACCAACTCAAACCAACCATAGACAAGCTAACTGGTAGTACCGAATCGAATTCATGTTAAGAAAATAAGAATAAGAGTTGGAAACCTTGAGAAGTTCGAGTGTGTCAGAGGACATGCGACCTTTGCTGGGCAAACCGAGACGGATCTCTTTCCGGTGGGAAATTCTGCCGCCGGGGTTTCCATTGAGGAGTTGAGGTTCAGCCTGAGGCTGAGGCACGGAGAGTGAGGCGTAGCAGCACCAACTACTGGATTTGACGGAAGCGTGGAGAGGGAGATTCATCGTCATCGTCAACATTGCTCGCTATGTGAGATACTGAATACCAGATTACACACCCAAACGCCGCTTCGTAACACACAGATTTGCAGCGACTGTGCAAATACGTGGATGTCCACTTCCACGCGTTCCTTTTCTCTCTTTTTTGGCCTCTACTGAATTCAACTCTTTTATTGCACTCCATTAGTTTTTCCTTTTTCCCTCTTTTCCTATTTTTTGTCGTGTTGTGTAGGTTCCGCACCGTTTAAATACTATTATTTTTTTTATTTGTGTTTGCAGTGTAATTAGTTAAATTTATGAAAAAATAGTCAAAAATAAAATTTTTAAGGTTAACTAATTTACTCGACTTTAAAAATAAAGATATTCAATTAATTTAAAAAATAAAATAAAATTTAAGATTACACTTGATTTAGATTAAATGAAGCAAATTTACAAAGATTCATTGTGTGCGAAAATCGATAAAATAAGCCAGTTGTTCTTAAATTACATTTCCCTTCTAATCATCTTATATCATATGATATGACGTATCTCATAGACTAGATAAGCTTTAGAATTAAAAATAAAAATGTATAAAAAATAGAAACTAAAATAAAATAAAATTATTTTTAAAAAATTAAAAATTTGTTAAAATGTTAATACTAAAAATATATTTAAGTCTTTTATAAAATATAAGTGTTTTTAAAAGGTATAAATGTTTATATTTTTTATATTTCAAATACTTTGAGACATATTGTTTTACTATTTTAATGTATTAAATGACAAGATAATTAAATTTGAGATGCATTTATATTTGTTTCTATTTTATCTTATCCAAATTTAATAATTTAAAATAACATTGGGTTAATTTCACTCATAAATAAAATATACTAATTTTAATATTATAAACTAAGTAGATACGTTCGTGTGTTACACGGGTTTGTTTTAATTTTATTAAATTAATTTATTTTAAAATATAAAATATATAATTTAAATATAAAAATATATCAATATAGTAAAAAACTTATTATATTAAATATAATTACAATGAGAAAAATTATGAAATTTTTTTTTATATAATATTTTTTGTATATCTTATATATTTGTTTATCTTTTTTAATAATAAATGTTTTTTATTTCTTTTATTGACATTATTTTAGATAATGCAACATATAATTAACTATGATTAAATACAGGTTTTGGTAAATATAATTTAACATAATTTAAAGATTATCCTTGATAAAGAGTATTATTCTATTGCATATTCCTGATGTCTGATTGATGTTCCTAAATAGCATATTTGACATTCTTTCTTTGAGTTGTAAGTAATAGAAAGTAAATCCATTAAAATTTAAAGTATTCAATAATTTTACAGGATACATAAGCTCTTGTTTTTTGATTTGATTTATCACAAAAAATTATTAATAAATAAGTAAACATAATTTCAATTTATAATTTGTATGATAAAATATTAATTATAAAAGTTGTTATGATAAACTCTATACGTGTATAATTGAATTATATTAATAAATAAATAAGCAAATATTATCACAGTTTATAATATTAATACCAATACATGCATCAATAAACTTTTATAATTATTCTCTAATTAAAATAGAGAAGTAAATTAATTTTAAAATATGAAATAATTTTAAATAATTATTTGTTAATGTAATAATAATTGAATTAATAAAATTAAGATAATATTTATTAAGATAATAATAGATTTAATAATATGTTGCATCTTACAAAAGACTAATAAATAAATAAATAAAATTTTAATTTAAATATATATTATACCGTCATTAAAAATTTATTAGGTCTGTAATTATTTTAAAAATATAAATATAAATTTAATATATACACATTAAAATATTATACCGTCATTAAAAAAAAAAAGATGTGTTCTAACAATTTTGACGCAAATTCGGTGTATTTGAGATTTGATGATTGCTTTCAGATATAATTTTTGTGTGATGTCCTTGTGTCTATCTCTATAGTCTAATATTTAATATATCATATGGTCTTACAAAAATAAAAAGTCAATATTTAGTAAACCTGATTTAAATATTTTTTAAAATTAAAAAATTTATAATTTTAAGCATATAACATAATAAACATATATTAATAAAAAATATTTGTATTAAATTAATATTTTTATGTATAATACATGTATTTTGATTTACATCATGGGAATTAACTTTAAGTCTACAAAATGAATAAATTTTTTCATTAAAAAGCATGGTTATTTGCGTTTGTAATTAAATACTCTTAGTAAAATTTTCAAAAACATTAGAACTTGTATTCCAATTTAAAAATTTTGAATAATCATATAGTGAGAATATAGAATTTTAATAAACAAATATAATTTGATATGTTAATATAAAAAATATTTTTATAATATTTTAAACACTAACCTCAATCTTTCGTAAATCGTAAGTCTTTCTATAGTTGTGAAGATTTAAACTTTATACTCATAGAATTTTAAAAATACGTAAAGAAAAATGTTTATTAACTTTTGAAACAAATGATATATATATATATATATATATATATATATATATATATAAATTAAATCCAAAATTTGAACTTAATTCAAAGTTAAAACGTTATATTTTCTCTACATATTCGTTCATTACATTATAAAATTATTAAATATACAAAACCAACAGTTAATTTAAATATCAAATCATACTCATTTTCATTGTTATGATATTTAATAATATTTAATTTATTTCAATTATTATAATTAATTAGTTTTAATTTGAGATATTTGAATTTATCATCATCATTATAATATTTTATAAAAAAAAATTGCAACAAAATTATTAAGTAAAAATATTGTTAATTTTTTAATTTAAAAAAATAAATTTGTTGTCGTAATTATTATAATATAAAATATAAATAAAATATTATCTACATTAATAGGTTAAACATAATTATGATAAGTCAATTTTTATTAAATTATTTTAAAAAAATAGAAATAATAGGAGTAGAGGAAAAAAGAATAGTCAAAAAATTTTCAATTAAGATTTAGATAGAAACTAAAAGAGAATAATGATTTTATTTAATATAAAAATTAATCTTTATATCAATTAGAATTACAGATGTTGATATAATATAAAATTTATGAGTCACATATAAAATTTAAACAAATTTTATGTTAAGAACAAAGTCAGTACATAATATATATATATATATATATATATATAATAAGATAAAATTATTTTATAAAAGACAAAAATATTTGGTGATATTTTTACTTTTCAAATTCTATACAATATTAAAAGTATTTATACAATATTATAATAAAAATTGTTCAATCTTCTAAATCCTCAATTGTTGCTTTTTATTCACTATTTTTTGTTTCATCTTTCTCAAGTTGCGACTTAGAAAATATAAAATATAAATTATTGTATGATCTAAAAAATTTAAACAATATATTACAAATTTATAATTTATACACTAATTCCCTCATTCTTTTATCGTGCCTTAAGCAGTTATTTTTTCTTCAATAGAACTTGTGTGCATGACCACTCTAATCACATGTATTCATAAAATAAATAAATTTAGGAAACTAATTGATAAATTAAATACAAATTATATAACAATTTCAGTAAAATTTTACAGCAAAATACATGTTAAGATGTTATTTTTACAATGACTTTTTAAATCTTTAAAGTTTACAAACTCAATGATACGGTAAGGAATTATGTTATCATCATTTAATTCCTTAATAATAGTTAGTGGCATAAAATTGCAAAATGAAAGAATTGTTTTCAACAGCAGCAAATCTATCTTTATTTTTTGTTATTGAAAAATTTGTTATAAAATATATTTTTTCTTATTTTAATATACCTATAAATTGGTAAGAAATACCTCATACTATGGAAGCATGTATGTAATTGTTTTGTAGAAAGAAAAAATTAATCAATTAAAAAATTTAAAAATAAATTAAGTTAGTTAATTATTATATAACAACATATAAAAATAACATAATCATAATTTATTAAAAATAATAAATTTTTAATTAGAAAAATACAAATACTAATACATTTTTATCACTTAGTACTGTATCAGTATTAATTAAATCCTTTTTGTTATATATATTTAGTGTATCCCACAACGATGATCTATTTAACAAAAGCATAAAAAATATAAAAGTAAATAATTACTTATGATGTATTAAAGAAAATAATGATAGATTTGATACAAATTAATGTTAAAAATAAAATTCAATACGTGATTTAAATTATATTAAACTAATAATTTAGTAAGTGTAATTTTTTTAATTTAAAGTATATTTTAATGTTTGAAGTACATAATAAAATATAAATTATATTAAACTAATTTTTAAAATAATTTAAATTAATATATTTTAAATTTAAACATAACTTAAAGTAAATAAACAATGTTATTTTAATTAAAAGGTAACTCAACAAATACAATAATAATTTTAATTCATAAATTAGGAAAATTAATATAATTAATTTTAATAACGGTAACTTAAACTAGTTTATAGTATAAATATTTATGTTGCCATTTGTAACATAATATAACCATCAATACTAATAAATATTCTTTAAATATAATTAAAACATAATAAGTGTGATAAAATATAATTTCTAAAATTGTGTTTTCATTAGAAATTTAATTTAAAAATATATATTATAAGCTAATAATTTGATAAATATAGTATTTTTAAGCTAAATTACAATTTAGTATTATTAATAAATATTAAAATATTAGATTATATTAAAATATTTAATAAAATATTTTAAATATGTAAAATTATATTTTCATTAGAAATTTAATTTAACAATATATACTATAAACAAATAATTTTATAAATGTATTTTTTTTATTCAAATTACATTTTAATATTTGAAGTACATATAAAAATATAGATTATTTTATTTGATCTTAACAATATATAATATAAATTAATAATTACATAAGTATAATTTTTTTAATTTTAAAGTAAGTTTTAATTTTTGAAATATATATTAAATTATATATTATATTAAAATATTTAATAAAATAATTTAAATTTGTAAACTTGTGTTTTCATTATAAATTTAATTTAATAATATATATTATAAACCAATAATTTGATAAATGTAGTATTATTAAACTAAATTAAAATTTAGTATTGTTAATAATAT